ACACCTGCCCCCATACCTCCTCCCTCACCCCCATCCCAGGCCCCAAGAAGACTTTCCACATCAAGCAGATGTTCACCTGCACATCTGCCAATGTGGTATACTGCATCCGCTGTACCCGGTGTGGCTTCCTCTACATCGGGGAAACCAAGCGGAGACTCGGGGACCGCTTTGCAGAACACCTACGCTCGGTTCGCAACAAACAACTGCACCTCCCAGTCGCGAACCATTTCAACTCCCCCTCCCATTCCTCAGACGACATGTCCATCCTGGGCCTCCTGCAGTGCCACAACGATGCCACCCGAAGGTTGCAGGAACAGCAACTCATATTCCGCTTGGGAACCCTGCAGCCCAATGGTATCAATGTGGATTTCACAAGTTTCAAAATCTCCCCTCCCCCCACCGCATCCCAAAACCAGTCCAGCTCGTCCCTGCCTCCCTAACCTGTTCTTCCTCCTCCCACCTCAAGCCGCACCTCCATCTCCTACCGACCAACCTCATCCCGCCCCCTTGACCTGACCATCCTCCCTGGACTGACCTATCCCCTTCCTAACTCCCTACCTATACTCACCTTTCCTGGCCCCATCCCCGCCTCTTCGACCTGTTTGTTTCCTCTCCTCTATCCCTCTTCTATCCGCCTCCCACTCTCTCCCTATTTATTTCAAAACCCCCTTCCCCTCCCCCTTTTCTGATGAAGGGTCTAGGCCCGAAACGTCAGTCTCTCTGCTCCTATGATGCTGCTTGGCCTGCTGTGTTCATCCAGCCCTGCACCTTGTTAACTCACCATAAGGGATGGGCAATAAATGCTGATCTAGCCAGCGATGTTCACAGCATTTGAAAGAATTAAGAAAAAGTCATATATAACAGTGTAATAGTAAAGAAGCTACAAGGGAAATAACCAATCGTTATTTACCGTTAATTGATTCGGCTGCAGTTGGGGTAAAGATACTGTGTTGTGTCACATTGATTAAATGTTTTCCTCTTACAACCTGTTTATCCTGAAACATTTTCTCTGCAACTGACAATGAAGAGGTGAATTAATAATGAGTGCAGTTCTGCAAGTTTGTGTTGTACGAATTAGTGTTGCCGTAGTCAATATGAAGAAAAATCTGTGCACAGATATGCACCCACTGATCTTGTTAACATAATTCTATATTGCCTGCCATTTGGCTTATGAAATCCTGGATCATTTATCCTTGCCAAGATCATGATGTATTTTTAGCTTATGGTTGTATTTGAGAATATATTGTTGTACTTTCATTCATTGGAACTGGTCTAAATTTTTATTGGGTCTAAATTGGGATGACATTCCCACTTCATCTTCAGTGCGCTGCAATGTTGTGCACATTACAATTTTATTGCCTAGGTCCACTCCTTTCTCAGATATTGAGCAGCACCTTCCATTAACTCAGAATATCTACAATGAAATATGGTGCAAACTGAACAGAAATATGACTGATTCTGGACTGCCCTATGAAAAGGCCCAACAAGTCTTTCAGTTCAAGAGTAATTCGGGATTACATCGGAAACAGCTTGGTCAACCTCACTCACATCCTGCAAAAGAGTAAAGAAAATAAAATTGAAATGGAACCCGAAGAAAGGTTAGGATGTCACTGGCTAGGCCAGCATTTATTGCCCATCCCCAATAGTTAACATTGCTGTGGGTCTGGAGTCATGTGTAGTCAAGAGCAGGTAAGGATGGCAGTTTCCTTCCCTAAAGGATATTAGTGAAGCAGATGGGTTTTTCCAACATTCAACACAGGATTCATGGTCACCATTAGAACATTAATTCCAGATATTCATTAGTTTCAAATTCCACCATCTGCCATGGCAGGATTCAAACCTAGGTCCCCAGAACATTATCCCTGGATCTTTGTATTAACAGCCCAGTCATGAGACCACTAGGCCATTGCCTCCCCAATGTTTTGTGGAGAACAAAATAAAATAAACAGTCTGATTAAAGTCATGAATCACAAATAACTGGAAGAAAGCAAGCTGGACCAAGCTGGAATGCAAATATTTTAATGGATTGAAGTGGAATGTAACTTGATGAAATGGAGTTGAAGAACATTGTTTCACACTGGGAATTAGCTTGAGCACTGGCTCAGACTGATGGGATAGAGTCCTCTATCTCTCACAATTGTAAAGACTGTGAGTGTAAGGAGTTAGTGCAAACAATAACCAGTTTGTAATGGGTGTGCATCCCCAGCACAGAACTGTCCAAATTTCAACAAATTAACATTTAATTCTGAAAGACTCCAAGGCTGCCTTGCATGGACATAGAAACTGAAAAAGATTAGAGTTTTTAAAAATTTATTCTTTCACCAAGCATTAGGATTGCTAACAGGGTTAGCATTTGTTGCCCATCTCTAATTACTCTTGTACTGAATGGCTTGTTTGGCTGTTTCAGAGAGCAGTTGTGAGGCAATGACAATGCCATAGGTCAGGAGTCACAAGCAGGACAGACCAGGGAAGGATGACAGATTTCTCTGTCTCTGAGGGACAAACATGAACCAGATGAGATTTTATGACGCTTGATGATAATTGTCACAGTATCTTTACTGAGACTAGTTTTGTTTTCAAGATTTAGTAGCAGAATTTAAATTACATCGGCTGCTATGTTGGGATTTAAATCTGTGTCTCCAGACCATTAGCCTGGGCTTCTGGCAGCTTACTCATGTGGGACATGTTCAGATCCCATGTTATCAATATGATCAAGAAGCCCTGTAAAGAAGCAACATCTGCACTGCTGTTACACTTTGGGCTCTAATGACCATAGTTTAACCTTTGGAAATGTGCTTCAACTGAGGAGAAGAAAAAGTCTTCACAGTCTGAAATTATGCTTCCTGCTCTACTACTTTTCATCCAATCATGGCACACTATTAATACACAAGGTTATCATCAGGTCAATGCAAAATATCCAATAGAATTAATGGAGAGGAAGATTAGTTGCTGAGGAGGGTTGACTCTGAAACTGAAAGCATCAATTTCAGAGTGGAATACTTAACGTTGTCATATCCAATGTGCCTCAGAATGAATTTAATTAACTCGTTCCATAGGATACTAAAGACAAATCAATTGTATGGCTTTTAAAAACAATTGATCATGATTAAAGGTATGTTTGCAGAATCAATTAATTCAAGAAACCATGTCATACTGATTTAAATCAAATTAATGGTGCTATGTTTTCTTCATGAGTTAAAATAACAACCATCAACACCAACAGTTCACATTTTATATTCAACATAGAAGTTGACCCCTTTTTCTGGAAGGATATTTAAAGCCTTCAGAGTTTGACTTTTTTGCTAATATCTACAGCGGCAGAAGTATATTCCAGCTCCCAACACTGTCATCCCTCACCGTGAGCAACATTCATTTGTTGGAATTGAGACTAAGATGGTCTGCAGTAACTTACAGCTCATCCAGATTGTTGTGTCGATAAATCCAATAGTTGGAGGCCTTCAGTCCTAAATCTTCTGTTGTGCCTTTGAGACCAACAAAGACAAGGAATGATCCCATGCTATGCTGGATCATATCAAGCTGGGATTGAATGGCTGCATGAGAAAAGTACTGTTTGGCATTATTACTGCTGTGTCCTACTACATGGCAAACCATACACACTCTCCATATTTAAGTCATGGATGGGATGAATGTACCATATTAAGATTTAAGTAAGCAATGTCTTGTAATCTGTCTGATGCCTTTAGTGATACCAGCAATGTTCAGTGGAGTAAGGTCAGGCAGCCAATCAGGTGGAGGAGTGTCTCTGTTAGTTAGAGATGAAATTAGTATAATGGAAAGGGATCTCCTAAGTTCATGAAACCAGGATGTAAACAATTGCATAGAGATGAGAAATAATACAGACAAGAAATCAAACATGGCGTGGTAGAACAGCAAGGAAGAAATAATGGGAGATTGTTAGAAAGGCCTGATGATAATCATGAGAGATTTTAATCTACATAACAACTGAAAAAGTCAGATTGAAAAACATAGCCTAAGAGAAGAGTTCATAGAATATGTTTGGGATAGTTTATTGGAACAACATGTTCTGGAGCCAACCTACTTCTGCTTCTTGTTTATATGTTTGTGGCAAGGCTTTTTATCAGTGAAGTCATTTGATGGTTTTCAAATTACAGAGAAACAGGAATATTGTTCTATTTATAACAAGTGATATATAGCCAATAAAGATCACTTGTTTAGCAATCCCATACACTCAAGATTACAATATATTGATTAACCACAGGGAAGCTAACTTCTGAAGTTGATAAGAAGAAGATTGCTTTGGAAAAAAAATCAAAATGACGGCACTTGAAAAAGGAGGAAGAGAGACAAAGACAGTGACCACATGGGCAGTGATTCTAACAGAGAAAGAGACCTACACTGCTCTCTGACCCAGCAGTAACCTGCACAGCTGCTGCCTTTCCTGTCTGGTTTTAAGTATCTCTGGGCGTCGGAGCTTGTTCTAAAAAAAAACAACAGCGAAATTCACAGCTGACCTTGGAGAAACCTGTGAGTGGGAGCTCACAGCCCGGGAGCAGCTAAATAGCTTTTAAAGTGCAACCTTACTGTTTTACGTTCGTAAATCCATAATAGTGAGCAGACAGGATTTTTGTTTTTGATTATATGTTGTTATTGAGCTCTGTCTCTTGATTCATAGCTTTAAGATGAGAGGAAAAAGATTTAAAAGGGGCCTAAAGGGCAACTTCTTCACACAGCGGGTGACGCATGTATGGAATGAGCTGCCAGAGGAAGTGGTGGAGGCGGGTACAATTACAACATTTAAAAGTCATCTGGATGGGTATATGAATATGAAGGGTTTAGAAGGATATCAGCCAAATGCTGGCAAATGGGATGAGATTTATTTAGGATATCTGGTCGGCGTGGACGAATTGGACCGAAGAGTCTGTTTCTGTGCTGCACAGCTCTATGACTCTATGGTTGTATAATTGATAAAGCAGACATCTTCTCACCGGGTTTCACTTGAATTTCTTTTGCTAAAAGATGTTCATAAATGTTGAATATTCCAGCATCAGAGATCACTGAAGGGGCATATATACATTCTTTTTCTTGTCCTTTAGTTACAGCTACTCCTACAGAGAGAAATGCTTAAAGTGAAGATGTTTCAAATGCAGTAAACTAACGTCACAAAAATGATTGGAACAAACATGTTTTTAACAGTTGAAATAAAACCTGATTGGGAAGGGGAATACATTGTCCTGTTGAAAACTGTTCTACAGAAGGTGACTTGATCAATAAATAGCATTTGGTGATTGATGAAAGCTATAATGACCTGCCTCTCTGACTAGGAGGTGGCACAAGATAGGAACTGAGGGCAAACCAAAGAAAAGTATTTTGAATTTAAACTCACCAATAGCTTCCCCATCTTTGTTTATCAATATCCGTTGAACAGGAGCACGCACTAGAACAGCTCCACTTGCCCTCTGTACGACTGGGATAATATGGAAGGCGATCTCGCTGGCTCCTCCTTTTGGATACCATGCTCCATGCTTATAGTGATGTATCAGTAATGCATTCATAACAAAGCTGGTGTCTTTGGGAGAAACACCTAATGAGACAAATCATATTTTTTTTTAGCACTGTAACCACAGTACTAATCTTTTCAGAGCCATTATAAAGTATAAGAAAATTATAATATTTACTACAAATGTAGAATGCATACAGTCATGCAGTTGCTTTCATGCATTTGTGATCAACCCTGTAATGATTATCTTGCATGCAAGTATTAAATTGTGCATACTGTCAGTTTAACGAACATTGTGCCATATCAGTGCCCTGTAACGTCCATCTCCAACAAAAGATAACCTAATCACTTCCCCTCATCATTCAGTAGGATTACTACCTTTGAATATTTTACCAAAATCCTAGGTTCACCAGACTGAACTGGACTAGCCATATAGAGGTTGTGGCTAAAATAGCAGGTCAGAGTCTGGGAATCTGCAGTGAATAACTCATCTCCTGACTCCTTAAAACTCCTACACCCTCCATAAAGCACAAGATAAGAGTGTGATATACTCTCTAGCTGCTTATGCTGTGTTAGGAACACTAAAGAAGCATGGCACTGTTCAGGCAAAGAAGTCTGCTTGATCGGCATCCCACACAACACATTCAGCACAGGTGACACATGGCTGTGGAGGATATCATCTATAAAATTCACTGGAGCAACTCCCTAAGGTTCCTTTAACAACACCCCCCAACCCTAACTTTGAAGGGTAAACACAGGATGCATTTGATCACTGGCAGCTGCGGAATCGTAGAAACGTATTGTGGACCCTTTGATGTTGCTTGGGCAAAGGTTTTGGAACTTCCAAATGAACAGGCTGATGATTGTACCTTCAGCACAAAGCCTACAGCAATTCATGAAGGTGGTTCACTGTGGTCTTCTCCAATGCAAATAGAAATAGCCGATAAAGAGGTTTTGGCTCAAGTGAGCTGCTTCAACTGGGATGACGTTGAACATCTTGTGTATGTCATTTTCGAATTAGGCATGATGAGCAGGAAGAAACTGACATGGAACAAATATTTGGCCAATAAAAGAAAAAGGTAGGATGTTTTTGATAGCGTTTGTATCGTCAAATCCAACTGACCACACACACACACACACACACACAAAAACATACAGCAGTTCAACGGAATCAGTATCTGTAACAAAAACAAAAGTTGCTGGTAAAGCTCAGCAGGTCTGGCAGCATTTGTGAAGAAAAAAATCAGAGTTAACGTTTCGGGTCCGGTGACCCTTCCTCAGTACCTGTAACGCTTCATTGGTTAACATATCATAAACACAAGGGCTTCATCTTTATTGACCTGTTAGCATGGGAGAGAAAGATAATGAGAGAAATAAAAGCTTCCTCTTACCAGTAAACATGTAACAAAAGACTGCTCGGAGATCCTGGTTCTCTGTTAGTTCACTAACCTCCTTTGTAAGGCTTGTGCTTGCAACCTTAAATATTGTAGAAATCCAATGGACAATGCCCGTCCTGACAAGGAATTTGGCTAATGGGAAGGGGATCATCTTTAGTACAGCCATCAGAGGTACTTGTTTTGAAACTCGCTGTAAAATGGAACAGAGATAACAAAATTCTTCCCATTTAGTGTTCTGTGACTTGACTTCTAAAGCATACCTCAATTATTTAGAAAAAAAAATCCCTTTGAAGAATAATTACCAAAGGAATTTACAACTGCAATACCCCTGGTGTTCCTAAGTCAAACTATTTTTCACCATGAATTTGAATAAAATGGGAAACAAACATATTTCTCCATCATGTATCATTGTTACATTTCAGGTCTGTACAGAGCCATTTTTCAAGAGAGCGGCCTATAGGTCAACATATTTTTAAACATGAAAATTTAATAACAGCTGATCTGAATGCACTCACTGTGTTTAAATACTAGGATTGAAGGGGAATCAGGTTTGTCAGATTCCTTGCTCTGGGTACATTTAGGAAACTGAAGAAACATCAACTGAGACTGAAGTCATTAACAGGGGAATAGCAATCCCATTGTTTGCCTTTGCCCAATGTTCATCATCTAAAGGCATTGAGTTTTATGATTTTAACCTTATCAGGATTTGCATTGTCAATTTTATTTTTAATATCAGCATTTAACACAGACTTTTCATTTAAAGAAAAGCTATCAGCCAATCCCCAAAACATTCAAACAAGATCGACGCGCAATTTCACCTGACAGTGCTGATTTAAAAACAATTAAGAGAGAACAAATCTCTTATCGATGTTCAGATAGGGATGATGTGCAATAAATATTTTAAAATGTGCAAAGTGAGACACTGTAGTGATTTTTGGCCTCTCCTCGGATTGTCACACCAAATATAGGCAGATAAATTGGGCTATATCATGTCCAATCTCAGAGTGTGATGGCGTAGCGGTGTTGGTGGCAGTCTAATAATCCAGAGACCTAGCTAATATTCTGGGTTCAAGTCCCATTATGGAATCTGAATTCAAAAGGAAAAGAACCTGGAAGTAATAGTCTAACACTGACCATGAAACAATTATTGGAGACATTGGATACTGCAAAGGAGTCAAGGGTCAAGGACATTCAGCTTCTGATCTTCGGGTAAGTATCCTCCAAGGTGGACTTCAAGATACACAACGACGCAAAATCGCTGAGCAGAGGCTGATAGCCAAGTTCCATATCCATGAAGATGGCCTCAATCATGATCCTTGGTTCGTATCGTACCACAGGTGACACCCCCCCAACACTATATACTTACGCACACATACACACACTCTCTTACACAAACAGACACACACTTACACAGACTCTCTCTCACACACACTCTCTCTCTTACACACACACTCCCTCACAGTTTGACCCTCTCAAGAACACATGTGCACACTCTCCCTCTTTCTCTCTCTCTTTCTCACACAGAGATACGGACACACACACACAGTGACATGGACACACACACAGAGATACGGACACACACGCACAGAGACATGGACACACATGCACAGACACACACATTAATTATTTCATCCAAGATTTTTGTGTGGTTGCAAATACATTCTGTTTTGCTCAAAAAAGTAAAACCTGACCCCAGTTTAAAACATAGACAGATTCTAAGCGAGACCTCACACCTAAAATGCATTGTTTGACATGAGATGGTACCTCTTGTATACATTGTTAAAAACTTTAATTATCTCGGGACAATGACTTGAGAGGAATTTGGATTTTGCATTTTAATCAACAGTCTCCTTCCTAACTGTTCAAAGATTCAACAAGATGCAGCCAGTTTTAGGGTTGTTACCTTTCTGCTTATAAATTCTGTGTCTTATACCTTCTCTTACACATTATGCCTGAGGAAGGAGCAGTGCTCTGAAAGTTTGCACTTTCATTTAAACCTGTTGGACTATGATCTGGTGTTGTGTGATTTTTGACGTTATCCACTCCAGTTCAACACTGGTATATCCACATCATGGCAAAGGATATGGGCCTGGCAACATTCCAGCAATATCACTGAAGACTTGCACTCCAAAACTTGTCACATCCTTGACAAGTTAAATCAGTAAAGCTGAACTACTGGCATCTAGCTGATAATGTAAAAGATTTCCCAGGTATGTCCTATATGCAAAAAGTAGGAAAAATCTATTTGGCCATCAGTTTACTCTTGATCATCAGTAAAGCTATGGAAGGGGATATCAACAATGCAAAGGAATAACCCTTTCACTGATGTTCAGTTTGGGTTCTGCCAGTTCCACTCAGCTTCTGATCTCTTTTCAGCTTTGGTTCAAACATGGACCAAAAAGCTGAATTGCAGAGGTGAGGTGAGAGTGACTATGCTTGACATCAATGTCATATTTGACCCAGTGCTGCATTGAGGGGCCCTAGCAAAGCTAGAATCAATGGGACTCACGGGGAAAGCTCTCCACTTGTACAAAGGACAATGGTTATGGTTGTTGAGGTTGGTTGGCTCGCCGAGCTGGTTTGTTGTTCCGCAGATGTTTCATTACCATGCTGGGTAACATCCTCAGTGCAGCCGCCGATGAAGTTTTGGTGTGTTTTCCCGCCTGGTTTTTAAACTCTGGGGTCCGTTGAGATGGATTGCCTCACTTCCGGTTTTTCCTTTCCTTCATAGTGGAATGTATATGGGGTCAAGTTCAATGTGTTTATTAATAGCATGCTTCGTGGAGTGCCATGCTTCCAGGAATTCCCATGCCAGTACTTTTGTTTGCAGGTGTACACCGAAAAGCCACACACACAGACCAGGTACTGAACTTCAATAGTAACCATCCCAGCACACACAAACGAAGCTGCATGCGAACACTATTTAAAAGGTCAACAACACACTGCAGCAACATGGAACTACGCCAAGAGGAAGAAGAATACCTCTTCCAAGTGTTCAAGGATAATGAATATCCAAAGAACTGGGTCAGAAGATGCCTACACGAACAGCAGCAGAAAGATTCTACATGCCCTGACACACTCATCACACTACCCTACATCAGGAACACGTCGGACCTCACCACAAGACTCCTACGACCGCTGGGCATCAGAGTGGCACACAAGCCCACGTCAACCCTACAAACAACTGCTCACCCGAACTAAAGACCCACTCCCCACCATGGACAGGACCAATGTCATCTACAAGATGCCCTGCAGAGACTGCGAGAAACGCTACATCGGACAAACAGGAAGGAAACTAACAACAAAGGTACATGAACACCAACTGGCTACAAAAAGACACGACCAATACTCGCTCGTCTCAATCCACATGAACAAGGAGAACCACCACTTCGACTGGGACAATACCAAGATCCTGGGACAGGCTAGGCAGAGACAAGCATGAGAATTCCTAGAAGCATGGCACTCCACAAAGCATGCTATTAATAAACACATTGAACTCGACCCCATATACATTCCACTATGAAGGAAAGGAAAAACCGGAAGTGAGGCAATCCATCCCAACGGACCCCAGAGTTTAAAAACCAGGCGGGAAAGCACACCGACGCTTCATCGGAGGCTGCACTGAGGATGTTACCCAGCATGGTAACGAAAAGTCTGCAAAACAACAAACCAGCTCGGGGAGCCAACCAACCTCAACACCCACAACTCGAGCTACAGATCTACTCCAAAAACCTTAATGGTTATGGTTATTAGTAGTCAGTACCCCCAGCTGCAAGAAATCTCTGCAGGAGTTACTCAGAGTAGTCTCCTAGGCCCAACCAACTTCAGCTGCTTCATCAATGAACCTTCCCCCATCATAAGGTCAGAAATGGGAATGTTCACTGATAATTGCACAACGTTCAGCACCATTTGTGACTCCTCAGGTACTGAAACAGACCATGTCCAAATGCAGAAAGGCCTGGTCAATATCCAGACAAGTGGCATAAAGCCTGACATCATCCAAGACAAAGCACCCCACTTGATTAGCACAACATCCCAAATATTCGCTTCCCCCACCATCAGTGCGCAGTAGCAGCAGTCTGTACCATCTACAAGATGCACTGCAGAAATTCACCAAGGCTCCTGAGACAGCACCTTTCAAAGCCATGTCCACTATCATCTAGAAAGGCAAGAGCAGCAGATACATACACTTACAAGTTCCCCTCCAAGCTACACTTCATCCTGATTTAGAAATATAGCGTTGTTCCTTCAGTGTCACTGGGTCACATTCGTGGAACTCTCTACAAACAGGTTTGTGGGTCCACCTACACTAAATGGACTGCAGTGGTTCAAGAAAACAGATCACCATCACCTTCTGAAGGGCAATTGGAGAAGGACAGCAAAATGTTGGTCCAGCCCATATTCTATGAATGAATATTTAAAATGAAGGACATAGGCTTGATAGTAATGCCTCATATCTTCCCCCAAAGTCTCAGCAGTTACCCTATTGCCTTGGACCATCTTTGGTTCTCCCTGGCAGTTACCTGAAGAGAGTTAAGGCATTTAAAAGTCACAAATAAAGGTCCTTCACCGATTCAGTTAAAAGTGTGGAAACACCATTTGACCTGTTCCTTGGCCCACTGAATAATTCTTGGCTCCAAGATTCAGAAACTCTCACAAACCAGCAATGTGACCATGACCAAATTATCTGCTTTTCAGTGATGTTGCTTGAGAGATAAATATTGATCAGGATACAATGGAGAATTTCGCTGTTGTTCTATGAAACAGTGCCGAATGATCCTTTGTATCCACCTGAGAGGGCAGTTGAGACCTCGACTGCATATCTCATCGAAAGAAAGACTGGCGATGTGGGGGCAAGATCTGTCCCCTGACTCCTTGCTCATGGATTATTTCAGAAAACTGAGCGCAAGTACTGAACAACTTGGGTGGCACAGTGGCTCAGTAGTTAACACTGCTGCCTCACAGTACCAGGGACCTGGGTTCGATTCCACTCAGTGTGGAGATTGCACATTCTCCCTGTGTCTGCATGGTTTTCCTCCAGGTGCTCTGGTTTCCTCCCACCTTCCAAAGATGTACAGGTTAGGGCGGAATTGCCATGCGAAATTGCCCATGGTGTCCAGGCATGTGTAAATTAGGTGGGTTAGACATGGGAAATGCAATGTTTGTAGGGGAATAGGTCTGTTTGGGATGCTGTTCAGAGGGGCAGTGTGGACTTGTTGGGCCAAATGGCCTGTTTCCACACTGTAGGGATTCCATGAACTTCACAATCAAACCTACCAACAAACGTTGCTCTGCGAGAGCAAGCCATCATCATTCAGAAGTAAATGTTTGGAGGTCAGATGCCTTCAGTAAAGTCCAAAAGGACCTCCAAACTCAACTTAGTATGATACCATTTCAACTTGGAGACATTATTTTATTCAGTCACAAGATGATGGCATTGCAGACTAGGCCAGTATTCATTACCCAGAGGGCAGTTAAGAGCCAATGACATTGTTTTGGTCTGGAGTCACATGTAGGCCAGACCAGGTAAGGATGCCAGATTTCTTCCCTCAGGACATTAGTGAACCAGATAGGTTTTTCCTGACAATTGCCATCACTAGACTTTTTTTTTTAAATTTCTGATTCTTAGTGAGTTCAAATTGTACCATTTGCCATGGCAAAATTTTGAACCCAGGTCCCCAGAACATTACCTTGGTCTCTGGATTAATAGCCTAGAGATAATGCCACTAGGCCATCACCTTCCCTTCTTGTGCAGCAGATGTGGAGGAGTAGGATAAAATGGACTAGCAGGCAACTGAGGATCAGGAGAAAGAACAAGGCCCAGCAATGGTGCCAGACTCCACAATCCTGTGAAAGAAACTAATCAATAAAATGACTTGACTCATCTCTCCCTCCAATGCCAACTGCACACCCTACAACTTTCACAACCACTGAGATGAGTCACGCTCTAGCCTTGAACTTGATCTTAATACAAAGTGAATAAAGCCAAGTAGCAAACTGGTTCATCATAGTTCATTGGAAATGCACTTTCATTGGTGTTGGGAACTAAGAATCACCCTCTGCAAACCTAGTTTTTAACCTTAGGTACCTGATTGTATATTATGGTTGTGTCAGAAGGATATTTCCCAGTGGTAATGGACAGGGAGGTGGAGGGCTGTTTAGATGAACCTTGGATGATTTTATTTTTGACTTCCAGAAGCTCCAGCCTTTCAGGACCTGGCAGCATCTTGATGGTGCCTATGGCAGTGCCACCAGCTGGCCCTCTGACACTGGCACTAGTTGAGAAGTTGGTGTGAGAACAGATGTCTTGCCATCCTGAGAATAGGATGACACAATGGAAGTGTATGGGCCTGTATTCGCTTAGAGTTTAGAAGGATGACAGGTGATCTGATTGAAACATAAAATTCTAACAGAGGCCGACAGACTAGATGGAGAGAGGATGGTGCAACTTAGAAACATTCTTGTAGAATTGCAGTTGAGTTATGGGGCAGAAGAAGGGCATTTGGCCCATCATGCCCGCACTGGCTTGCAAAATGGGTATGATTACTGAGTGCCAGTCTCTTGTTTCTTGCCCATACCTTTACATGTTATTTTTACCCAAATAATAATTAAGTGGCCTGCTTGAATGATTCACCTGAATTTGCCTCCACCATACTTTCAGAGAATGCATTCCACATCCTAACTAATTGTTAAGTGAAAAGGTTTTTCCTCACTTCATCCTTGATCCTTTAGCACATAACTCTAAGTCAATGCTGCCTTTTTTTTGTTCTTTATATGAGTGGACACAATTTCTTCCTATCTACGCTGTCCAGCCCGGTCATGATTTTGTAAACCTCTACCAGATCTTCTCTTTGTCATCTTTCCTTCAAGGGCAACAGTCCTGACTTCTTCACAATTTATGCTCATAACTGAAGTTCCTTATTCCTGGAACCATTCTTGTAAACCATTTCTGAACTGTCTCTGTTGCAATCACATCCTTCCTATAATGTGATGCTCAAAACTGTGTGGAATTGCCCAGCTGAGGTTTCAACAAATAACTTATACAAGTTTAGTACCATCTCCTTACTCTTGTACCCAATGTCCCTATTAATAAAGCCGTGTGTAGTGATTGGAACAATATCAGCCAGGTGGACCTTATAGAATATGAATTCCCTGATTGGGGCTGTTAATCTGGTCCAATCAGGGAGCCCTGGCTGACAGATAAAAACAGGAGTGTCAGAGGCTCTGTTCACTCTGAGAGCTGGCTCTGAGGAAGCTGGATCAGTGTCAAGGACTTGCCATGTGTAAATAAAGGGTGACTTGGTGCCTCTGGAGTTATTTCAGTGCGGATGTTGAATGCTTTATTTACTACTCTCTAACTGTCCTACCACTTTCAATGATCTGTGCACATACACTCCCAGGCCCCCTTACTCCCGCAAGCCAAAATTCTAAGAACATGTAGTATCTCCAACAAAATCCAGTTCAGCTCATTTCCAAAGGAGAGAGTGACTTTTATAACACTTGAAGTAATTAAAATTTCAACTCATCTGCAGAAATTGTGGACAACTCTTTCTTAATCATCATTATTATTATTATTACGGTCCTGACTTAACTTCCTTCCAGTGCTATACTATCCTTGGTGGAGCTTCAAATTCTTTTTATTTTAAGAATTCAAACGCATAACTTCACTTCTTTTCCACCGAACTGTATCCCAACACATCAGTCTAGGAAAAACAATAACTCCTTATTCTAAGAGACAGTAAGAGCAGCCGATGCTGGAGTCAGAGATAACACAGTGTTGAGCTGGAGGAGCACAGCAGGCCAGGCAGCATCAGAGGATCAGGATCCGACCCGAAATGTCAACTTTCCTGCTCCTCTGATGCTGCCTGGCCTGCTGTTGTCCTCCAGCTCCACAGTGTGTCATCAACTTCTTATTCTAAAATAGTTTCATTACTTGAAACTCATTTCCTTGGGAATGCTGCTTAGCACAAGTTACTCCATCAGAAGAATTCTCATCACTTGATGCATACTCATCTCCCGAACAACTTCTCATCACACACTCAAAAACTAAAGTCAGACCCTGAAAGGTTCTCCCCCTAAGCCCTCTGGGTAGTGTCCTAGAAACTCTGGGTAACTTCCTGTCACCTGGGTATTGCAGTTTTAAAAGCTAATGGTTAACTCAAACACACAGACAAGCTCATGTACTTCATTTAGAATGCAAACAGCTTGAGCTCGTAGTAAACAATATTAAACTGCAAAGATATAAATCTCACAGTTTTTCATACCCCCAAATACCCTTTGATGGCCTTTATCAAAAATCAGCCCGTGGCACTAAATTGTGAATTACAACAAGAATTCAGACAGCAGGTGCCCCTTTATTTTAATTCCCAGAAAACTTCAATTTTACTATTCTCTGATCTGCATCGTGACGTTTTAAGGAGTTTATTGATGGATACAATTTTACATGCTACAAACAGCATAAATATTTTGAAGTAAATCATGCGGAGTTGCTTAAATGGTAATATTCTGCCAATTTTGGGATTTTAATATTTATGTATTCAGTTATTTCATGTATATGTTGAATTTAATATTATATTCTCCATTATTCAACAAAACTTTCCATCTTTACTGTTCAGAAAACTCTGAAGTGCAGTAAATGGCCACCAGATGGCACTGATGGGCTACCTGAGGGAAGACCGCTAGGTCAGGCTCAGAATATTTTGTTTTTTCCAACTGTATTGGAGACAAAATAATCTTACATAAGAATATAAATAACAAAATAGGCAGAAAATACTTGCATTATTTAGATATTGTGCTTTTTCTTAGATAGCTTTAATGAGAAATAGATGTCATACTCATGCTAAGGTCGATATTATGCTAAAATTTAATCCTTAGAGAAATAAGATTACTTTAAGATATATTGTAAATTAAGTCCACCCAGAATCACAGAATCCTCCAGCACAGAGGAGGTTATTTAGTCAATTGTACTTGTACTGACTGTTTGAGAGACTAGTCATGCTTAGACCCATTTTCCTACATTTTTGACCATCACCCTTTAAACTTCTCATCTTCAGATAATTTCTTTTAAAATTATTTATAGAATTAATTTTTCGTGTCTTTCCAAGTGAACAGTTCCAGTTTTAAACAACTTAAGTTTAAATGAATTACACATATGATACATATTATCACTGAAAAGTCAATGATGTTGACATGATTAGATAAACTTTGCATGAGAGAAACAGACCAGAAATGTGGAGAGATGTGGTAAATCGAAATTCTGAGCAGGCTGTGGAATTTCAGACTAATTAAATCTTGGTGTTCTTAAGGCAATGTGTGTATACTTATGGATGAGATAGAGACATTCTGGATTGGTAGGGGAATCAAGGGTTATGGGGAAAACAGAGGAAAGTGTATATGAGGAATATCAGATCAGCCACAATCCTGTTGAATAGCAGAGGAGGCTTGTGGGGGTCAATGGCCCACTCCTGTACCTATTACTCCTTTACCTATTACTCCTGTACTTATTACTCCTGTACCTATTTTATTGATACAAAATTAATGAATATGTTACAACATTACCTTTACAAGTTTCATAAATTTGTCTATTGCTTGTTCCTCATGAGGAAACTGCCTCTTTAAAGCATCAATAAACTCCTGTTTCCCTCTGTGAAGTTCATATTTACGAAGGTTCTCATTTTTATCCAGAATGATAGTACCATACTGATTGTCCATTTGAATCCATTCCAGTTGTCCATCAGTGATTTGGTCGATAATTACTCTCAGGAGTCCACATTCATGCATTTGCCCCACATAATGAATACCTGTAAACACAGGAGATTTGTATCAGGAGAAATGATTTCTGGTATTTACCAAAAAGTTCAGAGAGTTTGAATATTGGATTGAAACAGACACAGACAGAGCTTGAAAATTGCAATGCTGGCCCAGCCATGTCCTCTTGTTTTTGTTCTTTTTACCAGTGGAAACAGTTTCTCACGATCTACTCTATCCAACTCGCTAATGATTTTGAAAATCTCTATCAGATCTCCTCTTAGCTTTCTTCTGTCCAAGGTGAACTGTCTCAACTTCCTCGATCTATCCTCAAAACTGGAGTTTCACATTTCAAGGAGCATTATTGTAAATCGCTCTGGTATTCTCTCCAAACTGTTCACATCTGTCTTATAAGGTGGTATCCACAACTGTACACAATACTATTGCTGAGGTCTTATACAAGTTTAACATCACCTCCTTGTCTTGTACTCTATGCACCTCTCTACATTAAAAAAAGGTTCTCATCTTCCGGAATCAATATTGTCACAAGGCCATTGGCAAGTGCTGGAGGGTGGGAAACTGAGTGGAGAGATCAGAGTCAAATGAATTTGAAAAGTAGAAAGAAACTTAGGCCAGCAGCAAATTGGGCGATAGGCAAAAAAAGTCTTGAAAAGACAAACATAGAGTTACTATATCTGAATGTATGGAGCATCTGCAATAAGGCTGATGAAATGTCACTGCAAATAGATGTGAACGGGTACAATATGATAATGATTATGGAAACATGGCTGCAAGGTGACCAAGTCTGGGAACTGAACTTCCAAAGCTATTCAATACTAAGTAAGGATTGACAATAATGAAAAGGAGGTTGGATGCTATTGCTCGTAAAACTTGAAATGAATGAAATAGTGAGGAAGGACATTGGCTCAGAAGATCTAGATGAGAAATCAGTCTGTGTGGAGCTAAGAACTAAAAAGGAGCGGAAAATATTCGTGGGAGTTGTCTGTAGTTCCTCTGAACAGTACTAGATGGAATTAAACAGAAAATTACAGATGCGGGCTACAAGCGTGATCCATTAATCAGGGATGGCATTAAGCTACATATAGACCACGAAAACCACATGTGCAATAATACTATGGTAGATGAGTTCCTAAAGCATGTACCAGATGGCCTTTTAGACCATTATGTTAAAGAACAAACTAGTGCACAGGTTATCCTTGATTTGATTTCATGCAATGAGAATGAGTTAATTAATAAACATGTTGTTAGAGTTCCTTTAAGAAAAAGTGACCATAACATGATAGAATCCTTCATTAGATTGGAAAGTGAACCAGTCCAACACAAAACCAAAGTGCTAAATCTAAGTAAGGGATACTATGAAGGGAGGGGGCATAATTTGGCTGCAGTGGACTAAAAGGTATTACAGTGGATAAGCAATGTCTAATGTTTAAAGAACAAATACTTGCAGTACAACAGTTGTACGTCCCTTTCTGATATAAGTGGTTCGACCATGGTTAACAAAAAAAGATAAGGATAGTTTCTGATCCAAAGACATGTCACTTAAACTTGTTAGAATAAGTTGCAACCTGAAGCTTGGGAGCCTTTGATAATTCAGCGAAGGAAGTTCAAGTGATTGATTAAGAGGGTAGAATAAAGTATTGGTAGTAGATAGGGAACAGAGAGGAGGAGTGAATGGGTCTTATTGGAGTGGAAGGAGTTACAAGTGTGTTATCTCAGGGATCAGCGGTTGGGCACCAACTAACATTTCTTTGAAGCTGCGCACACATGCAACTGCTCAAGCGTTCCACGCATGACGATTGCTGTGTTGACATGGATCTGATCTGGGTTTGGAAATCCCTGCTGCGCATGTGCCATGGTCGACTCAGAAGAGAAAATAATAAGATAGAACATTGTCATCAGCTATTAACAATGTAAATCAATGACTTGGGTGAGGGAATCAAATATAATATTTCCAACTTTGCAGATGGCAAAAAACTCAGTGAGATAGTGTGTGCTGAGGGGAAAGCAAACAGATTTCAAGGTGATTTAGACAAGTTGAGTGAGTGGGCGAATGCATCACAGAGGCAGTGTAACATGAATAAGCATGAAGTTACCAACTTTGGTCGGAAAAACAGAATGGTAGTGTATTATTTAAATAGTGATAGATTGGGAAATTTGAGGAAGAAATGGATCAGGGTGTCCTATTCACCAAAAGGAACCATGCATGAGCAGCAAACAGGAAGGCTAATAGTATGTTGGGCTTCAATGCAAGAGAGTTTGAGTTCAGGAGCAAGGATACTTTACTGTAGCTGTATGTGGCTTGGTGAGACCACACCTGGGTTATTGCATGTAACTTTGCTCTCCTTACCTGAGAAAAGATATATTTGCCATAGGAGGAGTGAAGCAAAGTGAAATAACTCCTCAGAGCTTGGTATCCTGTCACCAGAGCACCCTTTATTTACACATGGAGAGTCCTTGAGACTGATCCAGTTCCCGCAGAGCCAGCTCTCAAAGTGTACAGGATGTCTGACACTCCTGTTTATATCTGTCAGCCAGGGCTCCCTGATTAGACCAGGTTAACAGCCTCAATCAGGGAACTCATATTCTATGGGATCCCCCTGGCTGGCCTTGTTACAATTACTACACAAAGGGTCACTGGACTGTTTCCTCGGATACAGTCTTACCATATGAGGAAAGATTGGATCAGCTAGGCCTGTACTTACTAGAATTTAGAAGAATGAGAGAAAATCTAATTAAATTATGTGAAATTTTGACAGAGTTGCTCAGACTGGATGCAGGAATGATTATTCCCTGGCCTGGAGCTTGAGAAGGCTGTCACTTTATAAACTTAAGAACGAAATAGATACGTTTTTTGACATTAAAAACATCAAAGGGTATGGAGTGGAAGTGAGAGTATGGCATTAAGATTGACTATTAGCTATGTGATGGTACTGTAGCTTTAAGAGATGTGTTCTGCCCTGTTTCTCTTTACAGAGGGGTGTTATCACAGTGGTGCAGAAATGTCTCCTTCAGACTGACAGTTGGTAAACAGCTTTGAGTTCTCCCTGGGTGTTTTTTTTTAAAGTAAGTAAAGTGTTGTATGATTCTATGACTATGACTCTATGAATTATGAGTGGGCAGAGTCAGGCTCGGGCAGAACCAAAAGGACTTTCGTTTTGCTTTCAGTTAGTTGGTAGTTTTTGCTGACCTCTGGAGCTGAAAGCTTGATTCTCTGCTGCTAAAGTGAAGTCTAGGACAGAGAGGATTCCTCTCAAAAAATCAATTTGGTGTTTTTTTTTTCTCCTGGATTGGAGAGAGGCAGCATGTGAGACTAATAAATGTGTTGCTGAATTGCATTTGCCAATGGTGTGTTTATGACATGCTGCCTCCATTGGAGCAGTTGACAATTAGTTGTTAACTAATATATTATCTTGTTAAGTATTTCAATACAGCAAATTTATGCCAATTTTTTTTTTGCTCTATTTTGTCTGCGTTGTAAGAATAAACTGTATTTTGTTGAAAGCCTTATGGTGGACCAATCAGATTATATCTGGAACACAGGAGCTTTACACATGTCTTTCAAAAAAAAAATGAAACTTAGGGTAGCTCCATAAGGGAGGGCGGGGGTGGTCTAGTTTGGTCGAGAGCAGCTATAATCATGTTTAGTGTGAAGCACGCTTGAGGGGCTGAATGGCCTACTTCTGCTCCTGTTTTTATGTTTCTATCTCTCCTCTGGCTCTTTTACCAAATTTTTGTGCTCCAGTTTTGACTGGCATTGGAAAAAGTGCCTTTTTATTTATTCCATCAAAATCTTGAAAACCTTCAGAATTTTGATCATCTTTATTAAAAACCCCCAAATGTGTGACACCCCATTATTATAGAGATAAACACATAGGCTTAGGATTTGGCACAATCTCATTTGATTAGGGTTTTTGTTCATTTTGGTTTTTAAATGGCTTGAATATTTGTATTCTAACTGTAAATAATAAATGGTTAAATTGTTTATTCCCACACTGCTTCAGTGTATTGATCATTTGAAAAGAAAGAGATTCCTCAGCAGAGAGAAAGTCTTCTGTTAGCAACAATGGCTTAAGATGAATATTGAGAAAACAAACAGGATAGTGGGGCCAAATTTGATAAGTTAATCATCCAACCAGTGTTATGTCAGGAAAATGCTTAATTTGTGGAAGTTTTGTTCGCAATAACTTTCTTCAGAAGGTAAAGAATTGTCTCTGGATTTGTATAAAGACATGTAAATATCTTCTTTTACAATTTGTCAATACAGACAATAATTGAACAACTGACCATAAAAGAGATGTAAGAACATTCTCTACTGTATATGTTTACTAGCTGAAAGATGGCAACTGAGTAGAGTCATAGAGTCATAGAGATATAGAGAGCAGAAACAGAACCTTCAGTCCAACTTGTTTATGCCGACCAGGTATCCTAAATAAATCTAATTTCATTTGGCAGCATTGGGACCAGATCCCTTCCTATACATTTACCAATCCAGATGCCTTTTAATGTTGTAATTGTACCAGCCTCCACCACTTGTTCTAGCAGCTCATTCCATACATGCACTACCCTCCGCATGAAAAAGTTGCCCCTTAGGTATCTTTTAAATCTTTCCCCTGTGATGCCCTCTAGTTTTGGACTCGCCCCACTCTGGGGAAAATACCTTGTCTATTTAGCCTTTCTATGCCCCCCATGAATTTATAGACTTCTATAAGGTCACCCCTCAACCTCCACGCTCCAGGGCAAATAGCTCCAATCTATTCAGCCTCTCCCTGTAGCTCAAACCCTCCTACCCTGGAAACATCCTTGTAAATCTGGGAGACCAGAATTGCACACAGTATTCCAATAGTGGCCTAACCAATGTCCTGTACAGCTGCAACATGACCTCCCAACTCCTATAATCAATGCACTGACTAATAAAGGCAAGCATATCAAATGCCTTCTTCACTCTCCTATCTACCTGTGATTCCACTTTCAAGGAACTATGAACCTGCACTCCAAAGTCTCTTTGTTCAGCAACACTCACCAGGACCTTACC